CATAAGGAGAAGCAATATGTAAATTTTAATCCATGCTAGGAACAATAGCCTGGAGGCACCTTTTTCTTATTACATGAATCATATACTTAACCACAATGTGGTGGATTATATCAAAATCATCGCCACCCTGAATATAGAACACTTGTCTTGTGGTTGCCAATTAATGAAACTGATATATATTTAACTTGATGGGTACCAGTGATTTAACCAATAAGCCTTAGCATACTTCACTGCTGCAGTCTCCTTTATAATTAGACTTTTGCTCTGATTACTATCACGTCATACATTTTCCTCTAATCACCCATTGGTTGTCAGTAAAATGATGCTGACATTAAATCTGTTTGTCTGTCAATTGCCAATATCACTACTTTTAATCAAGCAGTGTATCACATAGTGCTTTTCTATTATCTGAAATAACTTGATTTTATTTTCTGATGCTGTTTATTTAATTGTTAAGTGTCTGATTCTGCAACAGGCTGAGCGTTGCCTTTCTTCAAAGTGAACTGAGGGCTCCCAGTGTCTCACAAAGGAGCTGAGTACCTTTTATGATCAAATTCTAAGTGCATAATAAATATGTAACAAAGGAAAGATTCTTTCCATGGCTAATCACTGAACTTTAAATAATATTTATAATAATATTCTGGTTTAATACTGATAGGGGTGTCTTAATGATTTGATGAAATAAAGAGCTTGGAGAACATCTTTATTACAAATAGAATGCTTATCAGATGTACACAAACAATGAGCACTATTTTACATGAAACAATGAGCTATTACAAAACTATAGCTGAAATATATGTTACTACTCAACAACTTCTGCATCATTTCATGCACAGAAAGCACCAAATATCTTCTGAAGAAAGCAGCACTTTTGATATTAGGAATTCGAAATGCAATCCAAATCCTTACTTAATTCATTAAGTAAGAGTATCTTTTAGTGCCAAATGGTACCTAATTATCAGCTTTAAAAAAATGTTTTACATCTTAAAATACAATATTCTGTTTATCCTAGATTGTCTGGGGAACATCTAGTACATTAAAAGATTTTTGTAGAGCTTCTTAGTGATTTAACTGATATCATCATGCCTGCTAGCAATTTTGCAACATTCTG